ACACACACACAGACACACACACACAGACACACACACAGACACACTGATTCCTGTAACTCGTCCTTCGTCTCAGTCTCCTCATCTGTGTCTCGCTGGCTTCTCCACTCAGCAGCAGTCACATGTTAATAATCACATGTGGATGTTGTATGTAAACATTCAGCCTTACATGTATGTCAGTTGCAGCAGATCTGCCGTGTTCCTTTCTGATCCTCTGGTGCAGGTCTTATAAGATGTCCACCCTCAAAATAACGAGCTTAAAGCAGTGTGATTTGATTCCTGTTTGATTTCCTTCCAGTTTGACTCGATTCCAGTATGATCTGACCTCTGAGATGCTGGAACAGTTTTTTTTAAGAATTAGTTTTCAAAATCAGAACACTTTGTTAAATTATGTCTTTTCAATTCCGTTCTTTTGATTGGTCACTCGATTCCTGATTGTTCAGGTCTATTGATTGGGTTAGGGTTAGGTTCCAGTTTGATTTGATCCCAGTGTGACTGTTTGGGTCTGTCGATTGCTGTGAGAGCTGCACGTGGACGATGGGGCCTGTAGATGGTGGCGTCCACAGAGCGGGGGGAGCTGCTGCACTGAGGGGTTAAATGAGCGGCGTGTGGACCTTCTGATGAGCGTGAGATTTCCAGGAAGTCAGAGAGGAGGACGGTGTTTTGTACGTGGAGCGTAGCTGGACATCAAAGACGTGGTCGTGCCGGCGTGCTGGCGGTGACACTGAGGAAAATGAGGATGAATAATGGAGCAGATTGCAGCAGTAATCACCATTAAACTGTATCTGGACCCACTTTATTCTCCAACATCAAACACATGGCCCCACTGGGACACACTAACACACACACAGCGCACACACATGATTTATTCTGCACACACACTTAAACACAGACAGAAAAGCTTCTGTGTTTGTAGAACGTCAAAGATAAGAGAGAAATTTAGATGAAAGAGCATTTTATTCTTTTTTTCCAGAGTCGCCTCGAGCTGAATGGCTTCAGGCAACGCAGACACAGGCACACACTTTTTACTTCACACACACAAACACACACTTCTTCTAAAGCGTGTGTGCCCAGTTTGAGTCGCACTCATGTGTCGGGTCGATCGAGCTGTGATCTCCCTCACAGATATTAGAGAGAGAGCGAAAACGGGACGGCTGCTCGGCCTATAATGAGGTTTTTAATGTTGACAGGGTGCGTTTGATTTCCACTCTGTGACCAAACAGGGGTCAGACTCATTACAGCGGGCGTGAAAACAGGAAGCTGGATGTTGAAGCAGTAATGCAGAGTGATGAGACCGCGGCTCTCAGACGTCCCCAGCACCGCCGCTTCCTGTCGTCAGGCTTCAAGCTGCCCAGTGACAGATGCTGATTAATCTGCCTGCAGCTGTTGATGTGCACGGGTGCATCAGTGAGAGCGAGGATGCTGAAGAAAAGCTTCTGCACTAATCGGGAGCCGCTCCATTTCCAAACACCACAAAACAAGCCAAACGCACGATGACTTTTGAACCCCTGAAAGCTTGCATTTTGTGCCGGCAGTGACTCAGACAGCAGAGAGAGAGCTGATTGAATCAGTGAGGTGAATTTCTGTCACAAGCAGAGAAACCTGAGGCGTCTTAGCGCTGAAATCCCAAGGACGACTCCCAAGGTTAGCATGCTGCCTCGCAGTTTTAAAGAAAGTCAGATATAATGCTTTCATCCTTTGGTCATACTCCAACGCTGTGCTGCTTTCATGACATTCAGCCTTGTAGTTTTTCTCTAACACCGGAGGCTGAGCGCTGAAAAGCAGCTTCCTGCTTTCAACACAAACCAGAGCCATAGACTCCACGCTTTGAAGCGTTCCTCTATGTTTGTTTTAGAAGAAGTTGGCATATTTGGACAAGAGGTTGGAGCGCTAATTTGTACAAAAGAACAGGAACCTCACAGCAGCTTTGTTATTGGTCACACGATGTCATTAAAAGGCTCCAACAGCACAAACACAGTGCAGACGTCCAATTCAGGGGAAGCTAGCACACAGCTAGCAGCTACCTGTGTCACCATCCACCTGTCAGTCACAGAGGCCACGCCCCTAATAATGCAATGCCTCGGTTTCCACGCATGCAACAAACAAACAACTAAAATCCTGTTGAATGCATGTAGACGTGGACTGACAGCTTGATGTGAAAGTCATCTCGATGTGTTGACTGGTGTCAGCGTGAGCTCAGACTAACAGCCTGTTGTTAGACATGTGGAGGACCCAGAACAGAGCCCAGAGGAACCCCACGAGCTGCTGATTGGTGACTGCATGTGGAAACACTCCTGCTGTTTCTCACTGAGGGTGATTTGATATAAACATGTTTATTCTTCTGTTTCTCAGTCCAGGCTAACCACCATGTGGCTGTCTGTACAGAGGAGTAAATACCACATGAGCTATGTACACACTCCTCTGAACCAATCAAACGTGATCCTCCCCTCGCACACTGGTGCCAGCCAATCACCGCTCTCCACTGCTCTCCTTCACACAGTGATTGTCTGTTCTCTCTGAGACATTAATCTGTGGTTTCCTTTTTCTGTTTCTTTCCCTCCATCTCATCACTCCCTCCGCTCCGCCCCCCCACCACTCAGACGAAGAAATTATCACTCCTACACTTATTACCTGTAAGTAACCTGTTTGACCTCTGACCCCTCACCTTCACACTGACATCAAAGCTGAAACACTGAATGTGTCCTGCCTGTAACCCTGATTACCCTGAACCTCTGACCTCTGACCCTGATTGTTTGATATTTAATCCCTGAACAGGTGATCTACCTGTGAGCAGCCCTTCTCTCTGTAGTCTGTAATTAATCTGATCACCTTAACCCATAGGTTTAACCTTTGACCCCTAACCCAGAAACCAGAAGAAGCATGCCTCAGTGTCAGGTCTCCACCCCTCTCCTGACCTTTGGCCCCTGGTGTTTAGAGCATGATTTTTCTCCAGTCTGATCTGTAACCCGGGACACGACCTTAAACTTTAGGTGTGAGGTTTCCTTTGACCTTTAACCTCTGCCACATCATGCACTCTGACCTCTGACCTCAGCCCTGTGTACTGTAGCATGAGGGTGATGTTTACTGACATGTTGGTGGAGGCGGCGTTACCACGGAGTCCAGATGCTGGGACGTCCAGAAAGGCAGATGCTTCTCTGAGGAGCAGAGCGAAAGCGTGACTCTTTTGTTGTCATGGTTGTCATGGCAGCAGACACTGAGGGTCAAACCCTGAGGAATCCCACACAGCATCGGTGAGGATGAGGAGAGCTCCTCAGTTCAGTTTTCTTTGTCCTCCTGAGACCCGAGAGAAACGAGAACAGCTGAGAAATCAGTGAAAGCCCAGGATGTCCTCTGTTTGGGACATCATGCCTAAGCTGGGTAGCTCAAATGAGTCAAAAGATACAGACCAAAATCAAGTGTCCATTACAGAGGACATAAATGAATAGACTGGGTCTCAGGAACAGCACCAAATCACAACAACAGTTCCCTCACTGTGCTTCATTTTGTAAAGACCCGACAATCATTTCACCTCCTATGAGCAAGCACTTGGTGACAGTGGGGAAGAAGAAACCTCCAGGAGATCCCCCAGCAGCCTACACCTATTGCAGCATAACTAAGGGAGGATTCAGGGCGACCTGGTCCAGCCCTAACTATATGCTTTAGCAAAAAGGAAAGTTTGAAGCCTAATCTTGAAAGTAGAGATAGTGTCTGTCTCCTGAATCCAAACT